TAATGCGGCACAAGTTCCAACTCGCGTAATAATTAGCCCCCACAACTGTCAGGTACCCCTGCCTTTTAGCGATTGGTGGGGCGTTTTCTTTTTTTTTATTAGCATTGATTGACAGCCGTTCAATCAATTTGATTTTTCCAACGGTTCAAATCCCGCCTTATAGCATTTGTAGTTACCCTTTCCATATTTCATTCATTTTGACATTTCAAACCTTTCAAACCCCTTAGATTCACGGATTTTTGGCCTTCTTCTTCTTCTCTGAAATTTTTCGAGTTGAACTATTGTTCAGGTATTCTTCTGTTGCTTGGAGTACCTTTTCTTTTTACGCATTACTCTTCCCTCTACTTGCTTATATAACTTCGGACGAATCTCGTGTGCAGTCCTAGGGGAATCAACAGGAAGAATCTGCACCCTCTTCGTCCACTCCGTCATATAGTCCTTCATCTGCTAGTTTTGACTGCCAGGAAGTGTTCACACCTATTCCCATTGCATCATATTATCCTCCACCACCTCCTCCAAATCCAGTATCAAATTCACCTAGGAGCATGGAGCACAGACGTAAGATAAAGGAGGAGAGGGCACGAGAGGAGAGCAGTAGCGGAGATCAAACTTGGGGGGCGAGTAGTCTTAGGTCGGTAATAACGGAGAGTTCATTAGCTACCATTAGGAATAGGTATGGCATTCCCCCTTCTGCAAAGCTAGTTATGCATTCCTTTTCTAACCGAGCTAACAGCCCCCCTGTAGGATGTGTCGCCCTTAACAGTGCTATTTTTCAGGCTGGCATGAGACTGCCCTTTTTAAGAGTCATTAGGTCATTCTTTTCCTCCTGGGAAATAGCCCCTACTCAGTTATGCCCAAATGGATGGAGGACCTTAATAGCGACCTTGATTCTATGGAAACAGTTAGGTCATCCGGAGATGGATGTTTCTCAGTTCAACTCTCTTTTTACCTTTAAGGAAGATGGGAAGAAAATGGGTTGGTGGTACACTAGTGCTAGACCCAGGACGGGGGGTTCACTAGT